CCATGCATTTTATACGACTTTTAAAAGTTATGCAACCTACGTACTATGAACTTATATATATGCATTATATGATATGCATTATGCACATGAATACATACACCATCACTAAAATGAGATTTGCATGATTAAAAGATTAGCTACATTAATACACGTAAGGCTGTGTTTTTAAATATATAATAGCATAGTTTCATGCTTTTTATACCACATGTATCTCCCATAATTTATGTGGTTTTGTGGTCTTGAATTTTAAGAGCAAGTAATTATAATTATGATGATATATGAGGTTATATTACAAAGTTATCTTTTGCAACATATTGATAAATGGTTGTTAAGTAAACTTCAGTTTCACCACTCGACCTAGGAGTTTTTAAGAAGTAGGGTGTTGATCATGCTAGTAAGTTGTAGCTTATCTATGTGCAACCAGTCGAAAGCATATCGGGTATAAAAGACCGCACAATCTCCGGCAATTTGTTTTTAAGGTAGTGTACTACACACGACACAAATTTCCCAATTCTCCTCCTTCATAAATTCAGCCTACATAAATAGTAGTGCTACCTGCAACGTTTTCCATACGAAAATTCCAACATGATTCACTGCTAATAAGTGTCAAAGACACACACTTTTAAGGTCCTTTTAGAGTGAATTCTAGGCTTAAAGTAATCATTTGTGTAGTAATTATGTGCCAAATAGCTATGTTTTACATTATTTTGGAAATTACCATAGCACTTTATGTTTTACAAGTTTTTAGGTAAGTTTCGGGCTTAAACGAAGCGAAGTGGCACAACCGGAAGCAAAGTGGAATAAGGAGACAAGTTGGGACCAAGCAACGCAGCTACAACGTGCGTTGCAGTGCACGTTGTGGGGGAGTGAAACATGGCTGAATTTCCAGTAAGTTCAACGCACCGGACAACGTGCGTTGCGATAGACGTTGGGCAGAATAAGTTCCTGAACAACGCACGTTGCCCGGGCATTAGAAGTTGTGTTGGAAGAGCTGCGAAGGGAATTGAAAAGGGAGGCTATTTAAAGTGTTTTAGATCAGATTTGTAAGGAGGACACAAAATTTTAGAGAGAGAAATAGATAGGTTAGCATTTAGATTGGAAGAGAAAACACTTTGTAGAAGGGATTGCTTGAAGGAAGAGCTTGACAAACTCCAATTCAAGGATCTTGCAAGACTTACTTTCATTTTGTTAATCTACTTTTGGTACAATTTCTATTCCTTTTCCATTTCTAATTTGCTTTTGCTATGTTTAGATCTATGAGTGCTTTTGTGTTTGATTTGAATATGGTAGGCTAGATTAGCTAGGGTTTGGATTGTGTAAGTGTGTGTTGATGATGCTTTCATGACTTATTTCTAGAATTAGGGATTGATTGATGTCATTGCTTCTATGTCTTGTTGTTGAGGATTAACTTGTTTGAATCCTAGGAACTTGATCACCTCCTATGGTGTTTGAGGGATTGATCTATGCTAGATCAATCCAAGATCCTATCCCTAGCATTTCTTAGCTCAAGGAACCCTACTGGGCTTGGCTATGAAAGAGTTGAAGGCAAGGTGTTTGAGGAAAGGTTTAGGTGAATCCTAAACAAAGTCCTAGTAGTCTATGTTACGAAAGGACGTAAGCCACTCTCTTGACTTAGCAATGGAATCCTCTTTCCCTATGTCAAATGATCTCTTAGGCATCCTCATCCACACTAAGCAATCCGACCCCTACTTGTTTTCTATTATTGTCTACTTGCTAGTTTTAATCTTGTTAAACCACTACGACGTTAATTCATTTGTGTGCGCGTGACATGCTTGCAAACTTTGGCGATGTTGTTACTTTCCAACATTAGCAACCTAGGGCTAACTCCGAGCGGCCATCCTTTGAGAATGATAAAATCCGGGGTTCATCTCCACACTAATTGGACTTTATCCCCCGTTTGAGAAAGCGGAGGGAAAAGAGCTCAGTCAACTGCTAACTGACAGATAGACATGTAATGTTCTATTGTCGTACATTCATTTGCCGATGAAGATGATGTTTGTGTTTCTTGATGAATAATATCATAAACGGGGCTAACTCTGAACTCCTTAATCCGAAAAGTGTAGCTCTGTCCAACTACTAAGACATTGATATCATCCCTAGAAGCCAAATACTTGCCAAATTTTCAGTGGCATAGAAACACCAGATCTTCATTTGGCCCCGGGATGCCAATATATTTTGGGTCATAAATCTATTTCAGACCACTGCTTATGTTGCTGACTTTGATGAAAAACGAGAAGGAGCCCCTAAATTTTCCTTCCCGAAAAAACTTGAATTTTCGGGGATTTTTGTAGCGTGAATATACTAAGCATATGGTCAGTCCTGTGATGTTTGTGTCTGTATGTGAAGCCAACTTCAGAGTCACTGAGTTTTCTACATCCTGCTTGTGGCTAAACCACCTTGGGACTTCACTTCCTAGAAAATAAGTGCTAAAGATGCCAAATTTGTACAGTCCCTACACCCAAAATAAAGAAGAAGAAGATCAGAATACGATATCAATTCAAACCACACTAAAAGATTGAATCAAATTAATTAGCTAATATAACTCTCATACTAAAAGATTGAATCAAATAAATCAGCTAGTCTAACTCGTGGTTTTATGTAGCAGTTTGTCGCCTGCTCACTTTTTATGGGAGTCTAGTTTCGAACTCTTTATATTATATACATTGTTTTAAGAGGGTTTCTCTAATTCTCTCTCGTCTCTGGTTTTCGGCCGCTCAAATTTCTACACGGCTGGCGCCTCCGTGAAACAAGCAGATCGGAGGCGGAGTCCGATTGTCTCCCCCTGCCGCCATCTCCACCGTAGACAATGTCTGCCTTCATTGTCTTCTCTTCCATTCTCCGCCTTCATCACCGGTTACGCCTTGCCCCACCCATCCATCTCCACCGCTACTGGTCGTTACTCCCTTATTTCGCATTGTTGTTTCCCTTTGCTTTGTTTTACTGGTTTAATTTTGTTTGCAATTTTTTTGTTTTTCCTCTCGTTGTTTTGACGAGTTTCTTCCTCCCGTTTACTTGGCGAGTTCTTTTGTCATAAAGCGTGAAACGATAAAACTGGTCATGACATATGTGAATATCATCCTAGGTGAGAAACATGACAATGAAAAAGAGACTCATCTGAACTATGATATGCAGTTCAGCTCGATGGAGATATTGTCAATGGATAGCAGAATGGAAATAGATACTCAGGTGGTGTGCAAGACTATTCAACCAGTGTCAGTTTTGGGTATGTTTGACCAAATTATTAAAGAAGCTTTAAGTTCCTCCAAAGAATTCAGCTTCAAATTTGTAAAACAGTCTGCGAGTCAAGTTTTCTGTAGCATTGCTAGGGAAGTTGTTTCTATGTTTGACCGTAAGGAATGTTTGACACCATTCCATCGATCTTTATTGTAGACGTTTCAGCCTATGATTAAGAATTAGCTTCTTTATTTTCAAAAAAGAAAATACATTATTTTAAAAACAAAAATTTTCCTTTTATTTTTTTTAGTCAGACCACGAGGTGTCTTAAGTAGACCTTAAAAACACTTTTTAATTTGTACCATACTCATATTAATTTCCGTTCGTACCAGATCAGCCCAATTAAAGAATAAAGTGCTGATCAAATTGATTTTTTTTATACAAGAGGGGTTTCGAACTCCCGGCCACTCCTTCGTATTTAAATTTTTTTTTTAAAAGTTTATTATTAAAAATTATTTAAATTGTCAACTCACTATCCGCAAGATAACCTGATGAAATGGATGGTAACCTGCTATTAGTGAAATTGCATACATTTGGGGTGTTTAATAGCTTAATTGTACTTTTTTTTTTTTATCATTCAGTGGCATAATTATACTTTCTAGTTACGTTCAATGGCCAATTTGGACCTTATTCCAAATTAAAAAAAAAAAAAAAAAAAAAAAAAAAAAAAAGATGAAGTTAGTCATCACTTGAGAAGTACGCGATATTGAACTACTTCAATTCAATAAGTTGAAAGAAAAAAATTATAAAGAGAACGTGGATGATTATAAATTTATAATTGTAATATTCATTGGTATTTATTTGTTGGTTAGTTTGTAGTAAAATAAAGGGAGAAATGTATATTACATCTGCCTAGTTTGATGCAAGTTCATTTGTTGTATCAAAGTATATTCAATAAAACATGAGAAATGTACATAGAAAATGTATGTTTGTGGTTACTGGTTAGTAATGGCTTTATTTTTGTTCAGCGAGGGCAATAAAGCAACGTTGACCATGCACTTCAAGAAACCAGGGGCCGGGGAGGAAGCGAGAGCGTACGTTTCCAATTCAATGAGCCCTAGCACAGCTAGCGCCAGAGGAAGTTACGAATTTTCCCAGGGACCTGCAACTTCCAGAAAGGCTTCCAAGCAGAAAAACCCTAAACCCCAACATCAGTATTTGGCACTCCAAGCTCAGAAGACGGTAGTCGTATGAAATATAATTTACATGAAAGTTGGCAATCCATATGAAATGTTGCTTTGAATGTTTATTTGAAAGCTTCAATTGAACTCAGAGGGTGCGTGATGTGAGAATTGAGATGTAGCTAGTTAAAATAATTCTCTGAGATTTGAAATTCTTGTCTGACGCGTTGACCTGCAAAGTTTGCTTGATTTACTTTATGTACTACTGTAATCAAGAGTTGGGGAGTTTTGAGATCAATGATGGAATTCTTTTTAATTACTTCTGTGAAAAATAGAAAAAAGATTTCTTTTGTTTTGTTTTTTTGGTACATTTGAGGGTGAGGTGAATGGGGAATTGAACTTATGATCTAGTTTGGTTATTCGACTCTTGAAACTGGATTGTTATGTTTAAGTTTTAAGAGAGCAATTTGAAATGTAAATTTCATATGAGGTCCTTTGAGTATAGTAGTTTTGTAACATTTAGTTCTAAATATTTGAATTGACCATCTATGATCATTTGACTTTCAAATTGTTATTGTCCTGTGGTCCAAGTTAACCATGTTCTTCAAACTTTCAAAATTTAACCAATCACGATCCTCATAGAAGGACCATGGATGGTTAACTTGGACAACAGATGGTAATAATTTGAAAGTCGAAGGACCATGAGTGGTCAATTTAAAAGTTTAGGACTAAATGTGGCAAAACCACTATGCTTAGAGAACCTCAGATGGTATTAACTCAAATTTTGAGTGTCATAAAATTTGATTCTCTTTTGTAAAAGCTGTTATTATTTACAGACACAACATAAAGCCTCAAATAGGAGTATGAGTGATTTAGTTGGATTCATATTTTGGCGGCTTTGAACATTTGATACTGATTCACTATCTTTCTGCTCAGGTTTTTTAGCAATGGTATTGGCAAGAGATGCTGGATTCCAATCTTATACTACAAGGTCTAAGTGTATGTATGATGTGTTCTTGAGTTTTAGAGGAGAAGACACTCGCAAGACTTTTATCGACCAGCTCTATGCTGCCTTAGTGGATGCAGGCTATCACACATTTATAGATAACCATGAGATAGAGCGGGGTGAAAATATCAAGTTGGGACTAATTAGGGCAATCAATCAATCTAGGAGTTCAATCCTAGTCATATCTGAAAATTATGCTTCTTCTACATGGTGCCTTGATGAACTTTTGATGATTCTTGAAAACAAGAAGAGTAAAGCACATATTGTGATGCCTATGTTTTATCACATTGATCCATCTGAAGTGCAGGACCCAATGGGGAGTTTTGCAACAGCATTGGCTAAACATGAAAACCGATTTTTTCTAGAAATTGATGAGGGTCTGGATGACCGAATGAGTAAGGTTAAGTCATGGAGGGCTGCTCTTAGAGAAGTTGCCAATATTGGAGGGATGGTTTTGCAAAAGAATGTTATGCCTCAAAGGTAACTGCATCAAAGTCATATACAATACTTGTCTCTAACACACTGCTTCTTTCCTGCCTTCTATGTTTTGATTGATTTAATGAAAGCTTCGATTACTTGTTCAAATGGCAGATAAAACAGTTAACTTATATCATCCTAGTTTTGAAAATGGAAACTAGAATGTGCTCATATGAGAAGTTGCATTGCCTCTTTTTGCAAATTGCACCAAGCATGTTGTATTGTACTCGGAAATAAATCAAATAGAAGAGGAAAACACTTGGATCCTTGTAATATGTTAATCTGATAATGTTAAGAAAATAGCAGTGTTGCAAAAATCGCGCCTAGGCGCCGATTAATCGGCGCTAGGGGCCCTAGGCGGTCCCTAGGCGCATAGAGGGCGCCTAGTGAGCTTTTCAACATTGGAAAATAGTAAATACAAGAAGAGAATTCAGACCATTGAATGTGGTCTTCATATTTTATAATTTTATGTTGTGGACTTTTCATAATTTTGAAATAGTCTAATGTTCTCTTTTATTTGTCAAAGCTCACAAGAGGCATGGTTCATCCAAAAGATTGTTGAAGTGATTGAAAATAAACTAAAGCATGCTGCTCATAGTGGAGGTCCTAGCCCAATTGGAATAGATGCTCAAGTTGATCACATCAGCATGTGGTTACAAGATAGATCATCTGGTATTAGTACACTGGTAATTTGTGGGATTGCAGGAATAGGGAAAACAACTCTTGCAAATATTGTATATAATAAAAATTATGAGAGATTTGATGGTGGCTGCTTTCTTGAAAATGTCCGGGAAACTTCAAGAAAACCTAATGGTTTAGTTGAACTGCAAAGAGAAATTCTCTCATGCATTCTAAACAGAAAACATGAAAGAATACTCAGTGTTGAAGAAGGGGTTGTCAAGCTTAAAGATGCCATGTGCTATAGAAGAATTATTCTAATTTTGGACGATGTTGATCAAGTTGAACTTTTGGATGCAATCATTGGCAGTACAAGAGATCTGTTTAACCTTGGAAGTAAAATAATTATTACCACTAGGCAAGAAAATTTGTTGAAGTCTTATCAAGGTTGTGCAGTGCATAAGCTTAGGTGTTTTCATTCTTATATGTCACTGCAGATCTTCAGTCAGCATGCCTTTGGACAAAATTTCCCCTCTGATGCCTGGTTTGACCTTGCTGGAAGGATAAGAGACCGCTGTCACGGGCTTCCTCTGGCTCTTAAGGTTTTGGGGTCTTCTCTCTTTGGGAAAAGTATGGATGTGTGGGAAAGTGTAATAAGGAAATTAGAAGCAATTCCAAACAACAAAATTCAAGATATTCTAAAATCTTGTTATGATTGCTTAGCAGATGAGCATGACAAGAATTTATTTCTCCATGTTGCCTGTTTCTTTGTTGGAAAGGATATGGCCCTTGTGGTTAAGGTATTAGACACATGTGGCTTCCAAACTCAAGTAGGCATTGAGAACCTCATTAATAGATGCCTCCTAGAAATTGATGATAATAACATGTTGAAAATGCATCAATTAATTCAAGACATGGGAAGAGAAGTTGTTCGACAAGAATCACCCAAGGTTCCTAGTAGGCGGAGTAGAATATGGCATCATAAGGATTCCCTTAATATTTTGAGAGATAAAAGAGTAAGTAATTTGGTTCCTTGTTTGGGTTTTGGTTCTCTACATGAATGTTTGAATATTTAGTTCCAATCAATTTAAATTTCTGTTGCATCTTTGCTTTTCTAGGGAACAGGTGTAATTGAAGGTCTTGCCCTCAACATGCAATATAACCTGGAAAATGATGATGACACTTTTAGGCCATTGAATCCTTTTGTGAAGCGAGAATGTTTTACCTTCCTTTCCTGGTTCCAAGATCCTGCTTCAATGATTTCAGATGACAAGGTCCTTGAAACTGATGCATTCTTCCAAATGGATAACCTGAAATTTCTTGAACTCAATAATGTTTGGCTCAAAGGGCACTACAGAGGTTTCCCTAAAGGTTTAAGATGGCTCTGTTGGCATGGATTCTCTTCAAAGTATTTGCCGATTGACTTTCCTTTGGAGAGTTTGGTTGCTCTTGAGATGACTAGTAGTACACTAGAATGCATATGGCAAGGAAACAAGGTAAAATGCTGTTTTTTTTTTTTTTTTTTTTTTTCTTTTTCTATCTTTTGATGACAGTCATATGCTCCATAGTTAATTTGCATAACTCTGAGTTTAATCTTCCTCATTTCTGTTAAACAGGATGGCGCACTGTTGAAAATCCTTGACTTGAGTCATTCACATAAGCTCCTCAGGACACCAGACTTCTCCAGATTTCCAAATCTTGAAACACTCGTGTTGAAAGACTGTATAAGTTTGCTCAGGGTCCATGAATCTGTTGGCCACCTTGTGCGACTTGTTTCTCTGAATCTAGAAGGTTGCAGATCTTTGAAGGAGCTCCCAAGAAGTATCGGAAACTTGAAAAACCTTGAAACATTAGTCATCTCCGGTTGCTCCAGTCTGGATGAGTTGCCATCTGCAGTGGAGTGGATGGAATCACTAAAGGTTCTCAAGGCTGATAGAATTTGGAAGTATCAATTAGATTCCGCTACTCGTAAGACAAACTTTTGGCAGGCACCTCTATGTTCTTGGGTGTCAAAGCCAAGAAAATTTTTGAATGTTTCATTGCCGCGTTTACCACAATCTTTAGTAAGTCTAAGTCTTGTGGAGTGTAATCTGCTGGAGGATGCTTTTCCATTGGAATTTGGCAACCTTGTTTTATTGCAAAAACTAGATTTGAGCAAAAACCCAATGCGCTCCCTACCAGAGGGGATCAGAAGACTTAGCAGTCTGCAGACACTAAGCTTTGAATCATGTCATTTACTTCAGTCACTTATTGGTCTACCTGATGTTAAAGAGCTATATGTGAATTACTGTAAATCACTAAAAGCTGTAACTCATCTTTCTACAAATTTCAAAGTAGAGTATCTTGGGATCGCCGACTATTGTGAAAAGCTGGTTGAGGTTCATGGCTACTTCAAGATAGAACCTATTGGAGAACTTTGTGAAGAGTTCCTTGAAGCCTTGGGTTTTTTCAAGTTACAGATGATGGTGGACATGCATGTAAACTTTTTTGATGGCATATCAACGTTTTACCCTGAGAAGTATCCTATCCAGGTAATTACGTGACTAGACCCCCTTGCTAAGGGAACTGTTGGACAGAGGCCAGTAAGGGCCAAGTCCAACACCATGTGGCTAGGGGGATTATTGGGTGGAGGCTAGTAAAGGGTCAAGTCCAGCACCCTGGCTCTCGAAAATGTGTGGTGGTAGGCCTAGGCGCCTAGGCACTAGGCGGTGGACAACTGCCTAGAAATTTGGCGGAATCGCCGTCCGCCTAAACGGCCTAGGCGCTAGGCGGTGGACAACCGCCTAGAAATTCGGCGGAATCGCCTTCTAGGCGGCTGACCACCTAAATGGCCTAGGTTCCAACTAGGCCGCGGTGGACTAGGCGCCCAAAAAAAAATCATTTAATTTTTTTTTTTTATTATAAAAAAACGGGCGCCTAGGCGCTAGGCGCCCGAGGAACGCCTAGCAATTTTTGCAACCTTGGGTATAAGGAAATAAAGTTGCGTCTTTGCTACTAGCTATAGCTTTTGGCGTAGTGGTTAGCGCCTGATTCTATTAGGCACTTCTCAAATAATACCATGCTATTAGTGATTTTGCAATTCTATTGTGCAGCTACTCTATGAATTTGGCATTTTTAGCACATCAATCCTAGCAAAAGAGCTTCCAGAATGGTTTGAAACGAGAAGTACAGGATCATCAATATCATTTGTTGTACCTTCTCAATTGCAAGGTCTAAATATCAGTTTTTTGTATGTGAAACCAAACTCCAAGAATGAGGAAGCTGACTGGTTCCCTTTGCCGTTCTTCGTAAGTATTACTAATAAAACCAAAGATCTCCGGTGGATCTACAACCCTACATGCTTCGGGATTCCAGAAGCCGAAGAAATGCTCTGGTTAAGCCACTGGTCGTTTAGAAATGAGCTGGAATGTGGTGATGAAGTTGATGTTTCAGTGGTTATTGGGAATGGGTTTCAGGTGATGGAATGCGGTATTAACTTTATATATCAAGAACTCGGAGAGGATATTCGAAATAGTTACCTGTCCTGGAAAGAAGTCATTGGTGGTGATCTACGAGCATATCGTTTAAGCACAGGAGAATACTTGCTCTGCCGTGCTACTTTCACACGCAACAATGAAGCAAAACAAATTTCTGAGCGTGCCAACTGGTCAACAACAAGCTGGGGAAAAAGTTTGTTTGAGGAGGACTCTATAAATTTCACTGGTACGTTATTTTTCTTCAAAAGTATTATACATTTCCTTATGAGTAACAAACACTTTATTCCTGATGAATATTACATTTTTCAGTATAAGTATTACTTTCATTTTGATTCGACCTGTCTCACGGATTCTCACACAAGTTTTTGCCTTAAATTAATGCCGTTGGGGATTGGGGTTTCGGCATTAAATTCGATTACTCTCATTTATCTTCTAGGACTAGGAGGTCTAAAATTCATACAATGTCTGCTCTGTTGCAGAGATTGATGCAATGACTTGGTTTGTACGGTACAATGGCTATAAAAGAGAGAAATTGTTCTGACGCTCACAAAAAAGACCACTTTGTATTCCTAATACTCCTCGTCAAGCTGAAGGAATGTACATAATTTATTAACTGAATGTACATAATTTTTAGACCTAACCCACAATGCAAGGTGGATCCTACTGCCTGGTATAACAATTGGGAACCAAAAACTTTTCACTGTTCTGACCTGAATTTTAACTGATAATTTTAGGGTGTTATAATCATCTCTAGCTTGAACTGAACTTTCCTCTACTCTACTATTGCCCAAAACTTCGACTATTCCATTGCAATAGCTCCTCTAGCTCTTCTTCTGCTTCCTCCTCATCACATTCAAATTCATCAAAGTCTACATCACTATCATCATCTGTGTCACCATAAAACATCTTAGAAAACAACACTTCATTTAATTTGTGACTGAAATGGATACAGACATACAGGAAAGCAGCTTATTACGTTAGATATATCTGTAGTCTAACGATATTCAGTCTAATTGGACTACTTAGCAAGTCCAGTTAACTTGTACCACATAATTAAGGTTACGGGAAAATCTTACACATACCTGAAGAAACTCCAAAAATCACACGATGATCCTCAAACAAATGATTGTATAGTACACCCCTTACAATTGGATCACCATCTGACCTTCCTTTGAGGACAAAGTACTTGGAGGGAGAGAAGAAGTAGTGATTCACTGCTAATTGACAGATAGACATGTAACGTTCTATTGTCGTACATTCATTTGCCAATGAAGATGATGTTTGTGTTTCTTGATGAATTGTCGTACATTCATTTGCCAATGAAGATGATGTTTGTGTTTCTTGATGAATAATATCATAAACGGGGCTAACTCCGAACTCCTTAATCCGAAAAGTGTAGCTCTGTCCAACTACTGAGACATTGATATCATCCCCAGAAGCCAAATACTTGCCAAATTTCCAGTGGCATATAAACACCAGATCTTCATTTGGCCCTGGGATGCCAATATATGTTGGGTTATAAATCCATTTTAGGCTGCTACTTATGTTGCTGACTTTGATGAAAAACGAGAAGGAGCCCCCGAATTTTCCTTCCCCGAAAAACTTGAATTTTCGGGGATTTTTGCAGCGTGAATATACTAAGCATATGGTCAGTCCTGTGATGTTGGTGTCTGTATGTGAAGCCAACTTCAAAGTCACTGAATTTTCTACATCCTGCTTGTGGCTAAACCACCTTGGGACTTCACTTCCTGGAAAATAAGTGCTAAAGATGCCAAATTCGTACAGTCCCTACTCCCAAAATAAAGAAGAAGAAGATCAGAAAATGATGTCAGCTCAAACCACACTAAAAGATTGAATCAAATCAATTAGCTAACTCGTGGCCTATTAATATCAATGTGGGACTCTTAACACGTGCAATGTTAGAATTCATGATGAAGGGTAGGTACCTGGACTAAGTATTTACTCCTTGTTTCTGTGAGTTCATTGAAGAGCTCAACCTCAGCATCCCGAATGGCTTCTATATCTAAGTACCCCAAAGTTTTGACCAGTTCTGCATCAAAGTTGCTTATTGGTGCAAGCTTGAACAGGCCCTGAACCTCATCCAGTTTCTCACAATCATTCACCTGCAAGAATAGCGTTGTCCAAAGATTTGGCAGATTTCTAATGCCTTGCAGTGATGTGCATCCTGCTGCCTTGAGTTTAGTGAGGCTCAATGGGAGCTCCGGGAGCGTTTGGAGATTCACACAATCGTCTAACCACAGTTCCTTGAGCACACCGAGGTCTATGATGTTCTGTGGAATGCTGCAAATTAGGTTGCCACTTAAGTTCAAGAAATGTAACGAGGGAAGACCGGTGATGCCAGTCGATAACGCATCGTCTGTCAGGCTGCACTTCACGAGACTCAGGCTCACTAAGGAGCGCGATAAAGAAGACAGCACGAAACTTTCAGAATATGGAGCTTTTTTTAGCCTCGATAACCAAGACCTCCACTGTGTATGCTGGTGACCGAAAGCTACTTCATCCGCGTGGAGTGTGGTTAAGGATTCGAGCTTCCCTAGCTCCGTTGTGGTTGTGGCTAGCCTCGAACAGCCCGAGATGACGAGGTGTTCCAAGGATTTTAGGTTGCTGAAACTTGTTGGAAGCCTCCTAAGATTCTTGCAGCCTCTTAAGTTGAGAAAAGTGAGTCCCTCAAGATCCCCAATTGATTCATGAATCTCACACAGTTTTGTGCAGTCTTTTAGGATCAGTCTTTTGAGACTAGGAAGGCCACAAAAATTTGGGGTTGTCAGGAGGCTATGGGAGTGACTGAAATTGAGGATTTTCAAAAACCTTAGGATCTGATACATGACACAATGGATATATCTATCAGTAAAACAACATAAAATGAACATTGTTTAGTACACACAAAGTCAAGAAAATGGGGGCCGGGTAACCCTAGCTCAGGATACAAACTTGTAACTACAATGTCACGAGTTCGAATCTCAGCTCTCTTGGTTTGAGTTGGTCAGCTATGGGCAATCTAGACTGATTTACCTCTTTGTGGTCCTTTGTCAGCTCACAAGGCGGGATTTACCCAGTGCACAACTGCACACCCTCGGGTACCGAGTTTCCCTCGCCACCCAAAACTAAAAAGTCGAGAATGGATAGATACCATACCCTGATTCCCTCCCAAGCTTTTTTCAAGCTGCCATTTCTCATGTCCAAACCAACCAGACCCTCCAAAGGAAAATCATCAGGAATGGACTTTGAACTGAATCCATGCCAAGAGAGAAATCTTAAATTCACGGGTAGCAAAGCATAGGAGCCAGATAACTTTACACGACTCAGCTGCAGAATTCTTAGTCTCTCCATTCTTGAAAACGCATCAACTTCGAAGCATGGTTCATGCGAAATTTCTGCATTGTTATTTATAAGTTGTGACAGAAAGTTGAGTCTGCGACGCTTTTGCACATTTTCGCGATTTCCTCCTGCATAAAGTCTTTCAGAATCATTGACATTGACTCTAGCTTTCCTGAACATTTGCATATCCAGAACAAGGCCCTCAACTTTTTCTGTCCCCTAATGGAAAAAAAAAAAAAAAAAAAAACAATCCAAAAATATAATGCTTATAGATACAGAAAATGTGGGAAATATGTATGTATGTGGTAAATGAAGTATGGAATTGGATTATCTTTACATTTTTTGCCTTCAATACATTGAAAGAATCTTTATGTATCCAAATTCTGCTTCTTTTCCAAGGCTCCCAAGGAGATTCTTTTCGAATAATTTCTCTTCCCATATCTTGAATAAGCTGATGCATCATAATTTTACTCTTACTAGCAGCATTATCAATTGTTAACAGACACCGATCGATAAGGACTTGAATTCCATCAACCGAAAAGAAACCACATCCATCAAGCACAGGCACCACATAATCCTTGTTTTTACCAACAAAGAAACAAGCAATATCGAGGAAAATGTTCCTGACATCATTATCTGGCAACGAATCGAAACTGATCCTAAGTTTTTCGAGAATTCTCTTCTGAGGAATCACTTTCAGTTTCTGTAATGCACTTTCCCACACCTTAGGACTTGTGCCACATAATGCTGACCCCAAGACCTTAAGAGCCAAGGGGTTTCCTTCGCAGTGAAACACAACGTTTCCCGAAAGGTCCATGTAGTCCTCGGGTGGCCACTCTTTCCCAAACGCGTGCAGGCTAAAGAGCTGAAGCGATTCTTTCTCACTCAACGCCTTGGCCTTATACATCGTGCAATCACAAAACTCGCTGCCATCAAACAAGTGATCGTTTCTCGTAGTTATGATAACTTTGCTCCCGGGATGCAGCCATTCTCGCATGCCAAGAACCGCGTTTAACTGATCTGTATCCTCAACATCATCAAGAACAACAAGAATCCTTCTGTAATTCATAGCTTCTCGTATCATCACAGTGCCTTCATGGACATTGTGGATCTTCTTCACTTTTTCCCCGAGGATATCTCTGAGGAGCTGTGTTTGAAGGCGGGGCAGGCCATCGTACTGCTCTGAAGCTGCTCTTATATCTGCAAGAAAGCTACTGCCATCGAAGCTGTGATAGTTGAGATTATATGCAGTCTTGGCAAGGGTAGTCTTGCCTACACCCCCCATCCCATACACTGCAAGAATATCGACACTGGTTGATCCATCTTGTAGCCATAGATTGATCTCCTTGACTCGAGTTTCTATTCCTATAGGGTGCTGAGAAACATACAGAACTTTGCGGTTCAGCTTTCTTGCTGCCTCCTTCACTATTTGTTTGATGAACCTTGATTCATACCTACACATTAATGGCCCAAGGCATCACTATATATATATATAGGGATGGATATAAGGAAAATGATCTGAGATGATTGATATGATTACCCATCAGCCTGATTGTGAGAGACCATTCCCCCTAGATCTGCAAGTTGTTTGAGAGCAGCCCTCCAGTGGGTCACCTTCTTCATCCATTTCGATCCCACTGCTCGATCTTCATATCGAGCAAAAGCCTTAGCAAAGCTCCCTCCTTGCTTCCTCACATCAGAAGGATCCACGCAGAAGAAAACAGGAAGAACGAAGAATCCTGCAGAGCCACGCTTTAGCTTCCAGTCCATAATCCACACAAGCTCATCAAGGCACCTCTCCGATGACGCATAGTCTTCTGTCACTACAACTATCGCCATTCTTGATTCTTTAATGCTCTTATTAATATGCAATTCTTCTTCTTCTTCTTCTTCTTCTTCTTCTTCTTCTTCTTCATGGTCAAACTGACAAGTTAGGATGCCTGCATTGGTCAAGGCATCAGAGAGATGACCCCCAAAGCTCTTACCCACTTCCTTGCTCCTCAAGCTTAACAAAACTTGTACTCTTGAATTCATCAAATTAAACTCTCTCAACAAGAAGAAGAAGAAGAAGAAGAAGAAGAAGAAGAAGAAGTTGAGGAAGAAGCTATATATCTAGTGCAGCAAGAAATAGATGGTATTGCTGGCTGGCTGGCTGTTTAGATCAAAGTGCACATTGTAATCCTCGAAATCAATAGACAATAAATCAATAACGACATTTTTTTATGCTCAGCAAAAGGGAATAAGCTTTTGTTTTTAGAGATAATAATAATAATATATGCAAAAAGTCGGAATATATGTTATCTAAATTATTATTACCTTCCTAGAGTCTTTGCGGATATAAATCTCCGGTAATCAACTCATCCATCATAGGCATTTTTTTCTATACATGTTTCTATAATCAACTCATTCATCATAGACATATTTTTCATACATATTTCTAATGAGATTCGAATCCACGTACTCAGTGGCGGAGCCAGAAAGTCGAAATTAGGGCCTGAGAGGTCAAATTTATAGAAAAAATTTATCATCTTAGTCGATATTAGTATCAACTACACAATATTATTATATATATACCATATATGATTGTGCCAGTAGCATTTGCAAAAGAAAAAAAAAAAAGCCTTTCAAAGAAAAAAATGAATAAATAAATTATAGGACAATTGGAAGTAGGAACAAATATTTCTAGTCAAAGCCATCGAGTACTGGCGTACAGCATCTGCTACGTTTTTCTTCCAGAATTTTTATAAAGAAAATACTGCCTCCCACTTTTTTTTCAACTTTTATTTTTTCTCACAAAATCATTGATAAATAGTGAGGGAGTAAAATTTGAGAAATATATGAAATAATTTTTTTTTTTATAATTGGAAACATACTTTTGACAATGATGTCCTGATTGTCAATCATCAAGCAGTACTAAATGGAATAAAAGGACAATGATGTCCTGATTGTCAATCATAATTTTTTTTATTTTTTTTTGAAACAGTCAATTATTTATTAATCCTTTTATTATTATTCTTCTTTTTGGAAAAGAGAATAATAAAAGGATTAATAAATAAAGCAAGCCAAACCAAGTGCCTTGTGGTCCACTAGTATCGGCTTACTCCCCTAAGTGAGAGGTGTAAGGTTTGAACCTCACTTAAGGCAAGTAGTATGTATGTAGGGTATCCTCTTCCTTATAATAAAAAAAAAAAAAAAAAAAAAAAAAAAAGCAAGCCAGCCAACTATAGCACTATGGGAGTTAAAAAGAAGCTAAGGGAAGGAACAATAAGAACATGAGCTTAGATGTCAAAGTTGTTAGCTCATTGTTTTGATTGTGAATTCTCAATCTATCTCTCTTTTGAAATATGGAGAACAACAAAGTGTGACGAATTAGCTCAATCTTGGAGAGGGACTCACAACCAGTTCCATCCGGACTCACAATCATGGATCAGGGTCTACCTTGTATTGTAGAGCCTGGTCTAAAAATAACTTTCAGATTATGTATTTGTAATGACACATTAGAGCCTGGTCTAAAAATAACTTTCAGATTATGTATTTGTAATGACACATTTTGTACCTACAGTTAACAGTTTCTGCACCGTACCTGTACATAAATTGAAAGCACATAACATGATAACTGTACTACAGACATAAACATTTTAACTGTAGGTACAAAATATGTTAACTACTGACACATAACATGTTAACTAATATCTTATGTGTCTACAGTTAATATATTATGTACCTGCAATTAACAATACGTATTTGTAATTATTATATTATGTGCCTTCAATTTGCTTACAGATACAAAAACGGACATATTATGTACCTATAGTTAGCAATTTGTATTTATAATTATCATTTTATGTGCCTTCAATTTGCTTATGAAACTTAGTCCATGGTATAACAATTGGGAAAAAACATTTTGCAATTAAGAACAATAAAAAGATTGAATCAGTGTGCCCAACCCCACACTGTCCGACGAATAAGTGAGCTAAAATTGACCCCAACCCCACACTGTACGACGAATCAGTGAGCTAAAATTGACACCAACCACACACTGTCCAACGAATCAGTGAGCTTAGACCTGGTAATTATGGATACGACCTGTTAACACAACACGAAATCGGATACGAAAATAACGGGTTAATGTTTAGTCTTAATGTATCTCGGGTTGTTAAGACCCGTTATGTTTAGTGTCTTAACGGGGCAACCCGTTAAACCTATTAAGAACCCGTTTAACCCTTTATTATTATCGTGTTAACCCGTTTACACAAACCAGTTTATAACCTACTAAGAACCATTGTCAAGAATGAGATTACAAAAGATATCATGAACATGACTAAGGATGAATTTACAACATTAGACCAAGATCCTACACCAACTATTAATGTTCAACAATCTAAAATTTGAATTTTTCACCAACTATTAATGTTCAACAATCTAAAATTTAAATTTTTGTTGTGTTTAATTTTATTCTAAAAACTAACATTGACTTCTTTAATTATGATCATTTTATGAATGTTATAAATTGAAAATTTTTTTTAGTTTGTTTGATGGACTAGATTGTAGTTTTTTTAGTTTGTTTGATGGACTGGATTGTAGGTTTTATTTATTTTTTTTATATGGGTCATTATCATGTTGACCCATTAACAAATTGCCAGGTCTAAGCAAGCTAATATTGACCACAATGGGAGTCGAACCCATGACCTTCTGATCCGAAGTCAGACGCGCTAATCCACTACGCTATGCGGTCAAGTTGATTCCCATTAGCTTCAACCAGTAGAATAACTTGTCACTCAATCTCTAAGCTCTCAAATGTGATGTCTACACTATATGTATAAAAAACATCCATGGCTGCTGATCTGAGGGAGAACTATAAGCAATAGTTCTCCTAACTAATTAACTTCATTACTAAATAATCAATAAATATTAAAAAAAAAAAAGAATTTAACATTATTTGGCATAAATTATATTATTTCGTACAATATTTTACACAATTTTCGTATAAATAATGTTTTCTGTTATAAATATTTCAATTAGTGGCCATTAATCTTGAGACTCTTCATTTGCCTTCTACTTAATATCTTGTTTATGATAAGTATGTGAAAGGTTGTAATGGTCCCTATAAATTGAGGGTGAAGGCTTAATGAAAAGATAGTCTTATGAAATTGTGTTCTATACATTGTGTTCTTCATCTCCCTTTTACTTATCTATTCTATATACTCATATACATACAATCACGAAGCAGTACCGTGCAAACATCACGCGAGAACTGAGCTAGTTGATAGGCCAAATTACAACACGTTATCAGCACGAGTCTCTATTGTAATCTCCGGTGAACGGTACTATTGGTTCATTTTCCTGTGCATTTTGTTTTTTTTTTTTTTTTGAATCATATGCCATTGTTTATATATAAATATTATGTGTATATATGGCTATGAGTTTGGTTTGGAACCTTCAATTATTGTTTCTATGAAATGAGTGATTATTCTTCTGGTTTGTTAACAACTTTTGAGTGATGAACCCCTCATCAAGACATTGTTAAGAATTTCGGTAAATACATGAATTTGTAAATACATATTATCTTTATTTATTCTCTCAATTCTTGTATATGAGTTAGGCTCTATATGAACCACGAATCCATGGTGCTTTGAAATGGTAAATACATGTAGTTATATGCCAAATTACAACACGTTTGCATCGGATGATAATGAGGATATAGGCCAAATTGTATGTATTATCCATGTATGTTCTATGACTATGGATATCGAATGCATAATCGGTCCTTATTATATGTTTGCATCGGATTGCTGTGTTTGTATTAGAATGCTAAGAAACATGTATGCATATTTATGTAAAAGATGTTTCTTCATCCATTGCTTGAACATGTATTCAAAATATTGATTTTTTTTTCAAGTTGTCACATTGCTTCCTAAAGTTGCATCAAATGATGATCTTGTAGATCATGCCTTTCATTGAAAATTGTGAATGATTTTTAATTAAGATTGTTAAAGTTTATTTTGTGGAAGCTTAAGAGTGAGTAAGACTTTAAAGTTTAATTGATGACTTGGGAGCATCAATTCGGTGTATTGGAGAATGAAACACCACTCGTTGCCTGTAGCGCGAGTTGATGCTATAAAACGAGTCGATGCTTGCTGCATCAATTCGGTGTTTTCGCACCGATTCGTGCCTTGTTGCTTGTAGCACGAGTTGATGGTATAAACACGAGTCGATGCTTGTTGCATCAATTTGGTGTTTGCCTCACCAATTCGTGTTGCACCATTTCGGTTTTTGTGTATATTCGAAAGATCAATTTGTTTTCTGATTTTATCTTTTGACTTCATCTCAGAAAGTTCATTTTGCATCTAGAAGATGTTAAATTCCTTATTTTTCTATAAACATGTGATATTATGAATGTATATGAGAACATATGATATATGTTTTGTAGATTACGTATTCAATTGTCAAATGTGAATTTATTGAACTCACTTATGAATGAAGCAATTGTTGGGTTCTAGATATTGAAATTTATTTGGCATCCAAAGAATTGAGCCAAGCTTTTGTTGCTAAGTCACAGAGCACCGATGCCCAGAAGGCACAAGCTCTCATTTTCATATGTCACCACTTGAACCACGATCTTAAAAATGAGTATCTGATTGAAAAAGAACCCTTGAATTAATGGAAGTCCCTGAAGGACTATTCCGACCAAAAGTCATCAAATGTTCTTCCCCAAGACACATTTTGACTAGTTTAATCTCATGTTTAATTTTGAGATTATAATGTAAGTCAGTGATTAACTATAATTCAGCTATGCATAAAATAGTCTCGCAACTGAAACTCTAAACAAGAAGTTTCAGATAAATATTTAATTGGAAAGACATTGCCAAATTTTCATGCGAGTAATTTGTACTCCAACAGTAGTACAACACAAAATTATGAGCAGTATCCTAAGCTAATTTTAGCACTCCTTGTGGCTAAGAAACATAAATAGTTGTTGACGAAGAATCAAAATGCATGCCTGGTTGGGTTTGCACAGGTGCCTGAAGCACATAATATTACCTAGTTGAGTAACGTTATAAGGGGGAGTGGTCGAGATTATAACCAGTGTGGCATGA